TGAAAGGCTGGGGTGGAGAACTCCATGATAAACAGGTTGTATAATTATCTGGCATTACTTGCATTTAACCATAATGTAAGCTTGCTTGACTTATTTATATTCCTCTTTGAGAGCGTATCTCTCTCTGCTTGGCTACAGAAGGAGCTTGGGAAGTTGAAACCTAGAGAGTGCAAGACCGCCTCCTTCCTAGGGTGATGGCTGTTGGCAGACATTTTTCTGTGGTTTTTGTAATAACTTTGAGTATGAAAGCAATTAATTGTATCTATTAATTGTTAAGAAAGGCTGCATATTTCTGTTTTGAATCAGGACTGGGTCGAGTAAGTGCTGTGCATCCCAGTGCTTCAACCGATTCTTTTGGCAGACACATTTTAAAAATGTTTTGTTCACTCTTCTTTGTAGATTAATTAATTCTGATAGATTTGATAAAGAGTATCACATAAATCCACAGTTCCTTATGTTCATGTTAAATGTGATTTTTATTTAGGGAAGAGGGTATTAATTTTATTCTTCAGAATAACTATAATCTCTTGAGCGGTAAAACCTTGTTAATTCTCATGCAGCTAATCCTCAAATAATAATTCACTTTGACTTCACAACAAAAATAACTACTTAAGTCTAAATTATGGTAACTTATTCTGGTTTGGCCTGTAAAGTGTAACTAAAATCCAAATGTATAGATAACTGGAAATTTTTTAGGAACTTTTAATTGTCATCAAAAAGTCACAGTTTCCCAATTAAAAACAAAAAGGGCAAATATTTTTAAAAGTACTGAACATAAAGATTCTAGAAAACTCAGAAATGAAGTTTGGAAAACTATAGCCAAGAATGAATAATATGACGCATTAGTGGTGTTTCTTGACTACACAGAGCTATTAGAATAGTCAACAGAGGCAAGAGTGTTCAGTAAATATTTTTGTTCTGTGCTTGGGAAAAAGGCGGATGTGATGTTCACATAATGGGATGTATGATAACATACTTTTTGTTTTCACTGTAATCAAGGCGAAGTTTAAACAGTAGTTTTACTTAAATTTGGCATTTTTAAATCAGACCTGGATAAATTACATCCATGAGCTCTGAAAGATCAGGCCAGAGAATTGTTGTTTATCATTCATCCAGATTTTTTTTTTATATATATATTTCTTAGAAAACAGAAAAAATTCCAGAAGACTTGGAAAGCACTATGGAGCTGCTTTCTGAGAAATAGGCGTAATCCTATCAATCTGACATTAGTCTTGAGCAAAATAATAAAATTATTGAGGTGATTATTAAATGTACGGTATAGTAATTAATTACAATGATTCCTGGTTCTTGGAAAGTGTTACCATGTTAACTTCAATATTCTTGGTGTAGTTGAGAGTTTGTATCATAAAATAAGAGTTAAATTTAATACAGTTGTGTAACACAGTTGTTTTTTGAAGTGTATAAAAACTACCTGGTAAATTTCATGTAACAAGTGTTGAAGTGATGTTGCCTTGGGATCAGATTTTGGTCTTGTTCTATTTAGGTTTTGATAGTGATATAGGGCTCTAACGGGAGAGTCTTTAAGGCTAAACTCCATCTTCCTGTGGGGCAGGAATGTCCCAGCTGCAGAACAAGCTACTAGGTTGTCCATGCAGTGAGATCTCAAGGGAAGAAGTGTGGTAGGTGGATGAAGGCATTGTTTCAGGCTGAGCTATATCAGTCTCCATTTGTCAAGATTTCCCTAGATAACATTAAATTATTTGTGTTAATATTGACTAAAAGCACAGTTTGGGGAGTGAGTGCTATATAATGAAGAGGACAGGTGACTGTTGTGAAGCAAACTGGATCACACATCTGCTTCTTGTTAACTGTGTTTTGGTACAGGCAGAGAGGAAGTTGTTCTCTAAGACTGAAGGCTGTAAACTGTTTTAGGAAGGTGTGGGAATGCATCCTAGAAAGCGGTAAATGGAAAAAAAGGGTGTGAAAAATCAGTCACTCCGGTGATTGATTATTCAAGAGGTCACTCGTAAGCATGGCAGTTTGGTGATAAGGGTAAAGCCATTGCATGAGTTGTTTCTTTTACCCATCGAGCAAATGGCAGTGGACTGAGAGCTGCAGCTTTGACTCAGGACAATGCTGCACATCACTTGTGCGCCTCCTTCCTTAACTTTCTGTGGCTGACAGCTGCTCCTTGCCTTCTCTTTCCACTCCTGCCTGCACAGTCTATGAAAAGCCAATTCCCTCTGGAAGGTCAATTTAAATGAATGAAGCCTGTTCTTCTCTTCCTCTGTCATGGCATTGTGGGTGACTGTTTGGGCATCTAGTTTCTTTTTGAAGCCTAAATCAGGCTTGTTTTTTCTTGAGCATTGCATCTGTTGCTTCTTTCAGCCAGTATGAAATGCTCTCACAAAAAATACACTTTTGAAACAGAGATGTGTGAGATTTTCCTCACAGTTGCTATGGTCAGAAAAGGGCCTTTTGCTTTCCCTGTGCTGGCTGTAGTTCTGTATTTCCAGAGGTTGAGAAGCTGGCAGTGGATACTCATGTGGCTTCATTTCAGGTGCCAGTAGCAAATCTTTTTAGCACTTCTGTAGTGTCTCTTATAATTTCTGTTGCTGTTTTGCACACTGTTAGCTACAGCGTTATTCTTTAATAACTCACTATTAATAACAATGCAAGAGAGTTATTCATAGTAAAAAAAAAAAAAAGTGAAACTGGTCTGTTAAAGACAACTTTGAATATTCTTCCCATCTGTTTCCTGTGTCACGTGAATTACAGGCATTTTCCTATCTCAGCTTTGCTTTTTGTTGGCCCCTTTCCTCACTTGAAATTTCTACACAGGATTTTAGTAACTTAATAGGAAACTGGCATACATTTGGTAGTATCGGCTTTAAGTGCTGACTTTATGAGATACCTCTGTTCATCACATCTTTTCCTCTGCACTGTCTGCTGTCTTATCTATCTCCTTTGCATTTTCAGACCTGTAGTTTCTCAAAATGTACAGGAGTTTCTCCTTTCTCTATTGTCCCCCTTCCTGAAGACCCCACGCATCCTGGTTTTACTGAGCTATCACTGTGGTGATTATCTTGTCACTATAGTAGCTTAAGTCATGCTAGTTCTGAGCAACGTCCCTTTGTCTTCAGGTTCAGTCTTTCTCATCTCCTTTGCCTCAAGAACTGCCTTTTTATCAATGCAAACTGAATTCTGTCAAAGCTTTCTTTGATTTTTTCATACTATGTATTTGCTTTTCTTGGTTTTATCTTTCAGTTTGGTAATGCAAAGATTATAGTCACTTCTAATACCTGCTATTTAGATGATAGTTTCACTTTGTATAGATGGTCTGAATCTCAGATTCATGCAGCCATGGTTGATAAATTTCTCTGGTTGATGGTGATTTTATATTGCCATGGGTTTTTTTCTGCTTTTTGGGTGTGGGTACAATAGGGTCTTTGCAAGAACTACAACAGACATTAAGCACTGCCCAGTAAGTTTCTTGCCAAGTTGGATGATGCTGAATCAAAGCTTCTGTGTTGCTTTTCCAGTTTCTTTGAAGTTGCAATCTATTCTGGCATTAGACTCACCTAGCACAAGGAATAAGCTGTGTTTGTATTTTGACAGGCATGCTTTGGAGACAGTTGTTAAATATGTCTCTGTATTGCTCTGATCTCCTGTCAGAGAGCAATGTATGAGTTAGCTGGCAGAAGTTCTGAACTGGATGACTGACTTGTTTGTCGTGATGAGCACCAGTTTCTCAGGATGCTCATCTTTGCAGCCTGGGATACATGAGATGCTTACTTTAAAGTGTTTGTCATAACAGTCAGTCTGATGTGATCTCAAGCCCCAGGTCCATCTTACTCATAGTTTGTGGTAGTTTGATTTGAAGCAGTGCTCTCATGTGCCAGCATCCAGCTCTAAAATGTTTCTCAGTGCTGGTATGACAGTTTTCGTGTTTTAGAGACAAGCTCTATTGCTGGAAGTTTAATATGTCAGCTGTGTTTTCTGCTGCAGACTGTTGTTACCAGAACAACTTTTTTATAAGACATGAGTTTTATGAAGATAAATGACTAAATTATGCATTAGATACATCCCATTTTGTGGGTGGGGTGTTGAGAGGTGGTAACAACTGTTTAGTGAATCAAGTGAGGTTGGAAGAAGAATTTAAACAGTGTTTAGTTTGAAGAATTTTGAAATAGTTGAGTCATTTTAAACAAACAAAGATTTAAGGGATGCTTTTGTTAATAAATACTTTCCTGGTGATAGTGACTGGAAATTGAATACGAACTAAGTTCAGAATGCAGGTTTTTCAGGTCGTTCATTATAGGAATTTTTAACACACATACAGTGGATTATCCATGTCTGGAAATCTCCAGAGAAAGACTGCAAATAAAACAAGTGAGGTTCTCACTTAAGTACACCTACAGGTGTTGACACAGCAACTCATTCAGGGTAGATCCTTTCCTCTGTTGCTCAAACAAATAGATTCTGCAGCAGTGGCTCCTTCTGGCTTCAAAATGTGTAAATCAGAGAGGGGTAGGTGGTTGTTCAATTTAGTGTTGTTAGTGTAATTGTAGTTGGTTTTTGTGACTCAGCAGTTTCTTGGCTGAGGCATTGTCATTTTCTGACTTTGTGCTCTGCCACAACACTATGCACTACGTTACCAGACTGCATTTGTCTCAACTGCTATGAATTGATCATCCACCAGCCAGTGACGACCTAATAAGGTTCCCCTCTATTTCTAGTTGAAACCTGCTTTCTCTGTTAAATTTTGTCAAATGAGTCATACTTGCTTTTGTTTAAAATGGCTATATTTTATAGTTTTCACTAATAGTGGTGATGGTGCAGATTGGGCAGGCAAAGTGGGAATTAGTTTTAATAATATCAAATTATACAGTGAGAATTCTTGATTAAAATATGAGCTTCATTTGCATCTTGAACTATGGTTTCTCCTTATACATCATTATTTTGCAGAAGAGATGACACTAATATGTATTTATTTTATTTGTCAAGTATTGACAGAGGCAGCTCTTCTTTCCTTTTAGGAATCTGGGTAAAAATGGCTTATCTAACAGTAGTATTCTATTGGATAAATGCCCACCTCCACGACCACCGCCTCCACCGTACCCTCCCTTGCCAAAGGACAAGTTGAATCCACCTACACCTAGTATTTATGTAAGTAAATCTAATGGTAGAAATACATTGCTGACTGTCTTTTGTAATTGTTTGGATATCTGCATTACATAATGTAATTATTTTAAAGATTCACAATTCATAGCTGAATTCTAATTACAGTGCTCTCCTAACAAGTGTTGCTGGGAAAAATGCTAACTTTAAAGAAAATTTTGAGACATAGTTTGACTCTTAAAGTACTTGTAAATTAAGAATTTCATTAAACAAGGGAAAAGGGCTTCAGAGTATTTTTTTTTTTAAATAGTCAAAATATTAACAGAATAAGCAAAACAGTTCATTAGATACAATGCACAGTATTTCAAATATGTATGTACATTTTTGCAAGTGACAGTTTAGGTATAAATGAGCAAGTAATTAAACTGTCCTAACAATCTGCTTCAAAATATAGTAGAGACAAAAATGAACAAAAGTTGAGGTGATGTTAAGAACAAAATGTCATTAGGAAAAGGCAGGATTTAGTCACATAGTATTTTCCTATGCAAGCATTAAAACGTGTTCTGAAAAACAAAGTTTCATAATAGCTTTATGAAGAGTTTGAGCTAGCTTCCTCTGTAACAGAAGAAGAAATTATAGGATGTGCACTTCCTTGATAAAAGAATAGTAAATTATAGTATGTCCATACAGCCAGTGCGAAAATCTCAGGTTAGCTTTGGTCAGCTCAACTTGGGGACCAGAAGCAGTTGGCACTTTGGTCTGATAACACAAGCAGTCTGCCTGAGACTAGATTAAGTTGGAAGCAATAGTGCTTCCAGGTATTATGTCTGAATTAATCTACCTTATTAAAAATCTGTCGCAGCTTTGTTGAGTCCATACAAATCTGATAAATCACCGTGCTGCAGCATACTGTGTAAATATGCCGGCATGGGTCCCAGTATTTGGAAACTCAGTATTGTGTTTTGTTAATTGAAAGGGATGTTGTCTGCATTTTTACAGATGCATAAAAACAAAAACAAAAACAAAAAAAAGGAGACTATCGCATAAAATTGAGGTCATGGGTGCCCAGAAGCATAAGAAAATCAAATCAACCTTCGTGGTTAACATGACATATACTGTGAGAGTGGTCTTTTTAATTATACTGCTTCTTGTGTACATTATCTGTAGAATTAGCTTTTTTGACTTCTGAATATAAAGTTAGTGTGTTATCTTGCTCTTCAGAGAGTTCTGTAGATTTAAAGAATGTACAAGACTACTGTCAGATAAAGAAATAAACTGCAGGAAACCTGAGCTGCAAAAGCCAAAGCAACTGGGAATAATTCATGCCAAGAAATAAATTGCAGTAACAAATTAATTTCAGGAGTGAACCCAGCTTTTAACATGGAAAGAATTGTATGATGTAGCTGTTCATTCCCCACAGTGCAGTGAAATGGGGAAAATTGCTGTCATCTTTCTGTTGTTTCTCTGATTATTTTTTTTAATTATTCTTTCTTATTTTACAAATAAGAAGTCTAAATTCATCTGACATCTAATATTCCATTATAATTTTACAGTTGGAAAATAAACGAGATGCTTTCTTTCCACCTTTACATCAATTTTGTACAAATCCAAACAACCCTGTTACTGTAATACGTGGCCTTGCTGGAGCGCTTAAATTAGGTAAGTTTACTTTATATGTTTTTTTTACTTTGGGAAAAAGATACGTGTGGGGTTTTTTTTAAAGAAGTTTTTCAGTTCTTTTATTTCTGTAATACTGTATTGCTTGTGTATTCCAAGTAATTAGGATAATGTGTCATTTCTCAGTTTGTTACTGTTTCTAATGTTGATCATCTCTAAAAAAAGCTGCCCAAATCCACCAGATTTTGTTGAGCGCAGAGGGGACCTGAGCTGTGGATATGGAAGCTTACAGATAGACTTTTTTTTTCTTATGAAAACTATGGCTACAGATCTTTGTGCTTAGATTTAATGATCTGTAATCTGACTGTGTACAGTGTTTTGAACTCTGTAGGTGGAAAAACTATCATTGCTGGTAGGAAGTGTGTTATATGATGGATGTGCATTCATCAAACTCTGGTTTGAAAAATACTTCCTATTTAAACATTGTTTGCAGATTTGTTTACACAAGGCATGTAAAATGTTTCTTGGAATATAGTCTATAGAGTATCTGCCAAGTTTTTCTAAGCTTCTACTGTTGTTTGCAGGAAAGCTTTTTGAGTGTTAATCATGAGTGGTAATAATTAACCTACAGGTAGGCTGTGTTATGAAGGCTGGGGAGGGGGGAACACTTCAGATAACTTGTAAGTATTAATTTTCTTGAAAATTTTTATTATTTTAACTGTCACTTATTAATTTTATTCTTCCTAGATCTAGGACTCTTTTCTACTAAGACCTTGGTAGAAGCAAATAATGAACACATAGTAGAAGTAAGGACACAATTACTGCAGCCAGCAGATGAAAACTGGGACCCCACTGGAACAAAGAAAATCTGGCGTTGTGAAAGCAGTAGATCTCATACCACAATTGCTAAATATGCACAGTATCAGGCCTCCTCATTCCAGGAGTCTTTAAGGGTAAGTCCACTGTTATTTTTTAAGATATAATTTACAAACTGTGTACTAATTCTGCAACCAATTAATAATGGCTATTGAAAGAAAATGAATGCTGCTAAGAGGAGGAGACATGCCCATTATCATGAAGAATGCAGGTAAATTTACAGAATCTGTTTTGAATAGAAGGTCAAATAGTATATAGAGTGTTCTTCCCAAATGCTTAATGTAAAACTTATTTTTCTTAATGTAAAACTCCTGGCTATTACATACTTTAAAAGCTTGTGAGCTTAAGCTTTCATATAATAATGTCAAAATTCATATTAAGATATTTAGAACTTAAGATGCTTTTTTTAAACTTGTATTGTTTCTAATTTCACGCATGCTTTGAAATCAGATTTCTTTGTTGTTCATAGTATCCTGATTTAATTTGGATGTGATTTAGAAGTTTACGCTCATACTTGTCTTTTGTTGGGTTCCAAACATAATAGTTTCTGTTCAGTTTAGAAGTTGTTAGATATACATAGCCAAGTGCAATGTTTGAAATGTTATTTTATTGGTATTACTTTATTAATATTTTTGCTGAAGTAGTGACCACATCCTTGGAATTAGCTGTGGGCACTCCTTGGAGACTTACATTGTCTGATGTTATAAAAAGGTTAGGCTAGGGTGGAACTAAGACAAAAATATATTCTTGAACAGTTCTTAATTAGAAAATAGGGAAAAGACCAACCTGGGGAACTGACTATTGCAGTTTTAACCACCATTACACAGAAACAGCAATAGTTTCAGTAAGAAATGAAAGAGAAATTCTAAATTTAAACTTTGTGCATTTAGAGGAAAGGATTAGAAATGAAGAAATTAATTGGTAGTTGAAGAAAAGAGAAGGGGGGGGAATAGTCACAAGGTTTTGAGCAAGACTGATACAGCATGAGGAAATAAAACAGGAATACTATTGGGAAGTGGGGACCACTGAAGTCATCAAGAGCTTGGAACATAAATGGGATTTTTCTTCCTCTGCGTTGGTAATAAATTTAAGTAGGATGTCAGCTGAAGTTTTCTGGTGCCCTTGAACAGTTGCACCAGCATTGCAGTCTTGTACATCATTCCAGGGGGCCTGGAGAACATTAGTTCGCTGGAATATTATATATATACATGTTTAATAACATACATAATTAATCCCATACCAACTTGTCAACAGGAAAGCCTCAGCTTTGGATTTGCACCAGGAAGTGAACTGCAGGATTTTCTGATTATATCTTTTTTCTCTGTTACAAATTGGGGGTAAAAATGCAATATATAAAATAATTTTCAGAATTATGATTTTCATTTTCCTCCTTGGAAATCAGAAAGAAAGCATGCATGTGTCCTTTGCCTAACACTGCTTTGACCTGTCCTTAGATGACTTATCGTGGTGTCCAAATGAAAGCTTTGTTTCTTCTTTCTACAGACAATCCTCTTGGCTTGCCCCAAGTGATCTTTTTTTGGTTATTCTTCTAATAACTATTACATTGCTTTTTAAAATGTCTTGACGTATTTGATAAATCCATCATCACTAGGTTTCTTTTTGTTTCTCTATGTCCTTTATTGAAAGGATGAATAAGACTTTCTCAGGTACATAGGGCACTTTGTGATTTAACAACAATCCCATTCAAAGCCAGAGATCTTTGGATGGCCTCCAGGCAGTTATTTCCTTCTTTTTGTCTTCTTATTTTTTCTTCTATGTCCATATACTTGCCAGAAAAAGAAGTCTTTAGAATAGGGTTTTGAGTGCACTCTGCTAAAAAGATCAAATTACTTCTTTTAATATTGGTTTGATTTTTTTCCACTAGTCATGGTTCTAGCTACTGCAGTGTTAAAATAGCATATAGCTATGAAAAATTCAAAAGATTTTATATAATGGATTTTATAAAATTAATTTTATAAATATTAGTCATCCTAGTTTCATGACAGGATACCTGCTTGACTTTGGAGGAAAGTAAATGTTCTAGTCTGAAAAAGTTAATGGTATTCCTTAAGAATGGATTCCAGTTCAGCTGCATAATGAAGCAAACCAACATACTAATTTGCAGCTGTCATGTAGGCTAGCAGAAATGTTCACACTGTAGACATTTTCTGTTGTCCTGGCCTGAGCTTCACTGAATTTGTAGTCATGAAGAAATTTTTTGAAATTACTTTTGACTAATAACTTCTTTTTTTTCCATAACAGTAATACTGATGTAAAGTCTTAGCTACAGATCTTCTAAAAATTGTACAAGCATCTTAAAACAAATGTACTTACTTCTGTGAACATGTTACCACTTTATGCCTATATATTTTATATATATTCTTATTTTTATGTATATTTATATAGATAAGAAAAACATTTTCACAATTGCATTTTATAGGAGGAAAATGAGAAGAAGAGTCACCACAAGGACCATTCAGATAATGAATCCACATCTTCTGATAAGTAAGTATGGTATAATTGTGATAATTCTGTAGTTGGTTTTATGTCTTTTTTTGCATCATTCCCATTTTCACATTCACCTATTATATTTTTTATATATGCAGCTCTGGAAGGAGGAGAAGAGGACCATTTAAAACAATCAAGTTTGGGACCAACATTGACCTGTCAGATGACAAGAAGTAAGTTGATTACAGTTTGTCCTCCTCACAGCTGTATTCTGCAGTATGGATACTCCTTCTGGAAGACCAGTGCATTCTTCTCAAACAGTCTGTTGATAAACCCAATTCCAGTTGCACACACCATTTCCACAATGAAATTGTTACCTTTGGTCTTTTAAAGTGTTGTGATGAGTCCTTCGCATGCTAAAGTCTCATTTCAAGTTTTTCTTTACAGGATCTTTATTTTTCAAAAACTGAACTTCAGAAACTATTCTTTCTAGTCCTTCTCCTCGTACATTCCCTTTGTTTCATTCTGAGCCTTTAAATTATTTGCTTACCACTTTAATACTTGTGAAAATACCAAGTTTTCGGTCTTTGCACAGGAATTGTAAGATTAAAGGTTTTTTCTTTATTGTTTGTCTGGATTTTTGTTACTTGTTTTTTGTTTCCTTTTGTTGCTACTGTCATCCTTTCTGTTCCCACTGTTGTGTAGCTCTTGCTTCTCCTATCCAGGAACAGGGTTCAAACTATGTAGTAAAGACAAGACCAATGCTTACCTGTGGAAAAGCCATGATACCACTCCCAGAAACTCAAAAAAATAAGTAATCAATTGAGTATTCTTTAGAATACGTAACCTTCTGTAAGTAAATGAAGGTAGCTCAGACGAACATCAGAAAGTATTAGGAATACTCTGAAAGCATGGGTTTATTGTCCAGTAATCATTTTTTATTTGGCTCAGTCTCTAGTTAGTATATATTTTTGTAAAAGATCCAGCATGTTTAGGCTGTCAGTCCTGCCAGCTCCAGTACAAAAATTCTGATCTACTTAAATCATTAGAGCAGAAGAAAATGTTATGGTGTTGGAAACTGGGGAATAAGGCTCACTTAAGATTCGGAGGGTTTTTGTGGTGTGGTCACTGAAAGATCAATGTGCATGTGTATATATGTATACGATGAGAGATTGGTTTAAAATTTCGAGTATGGGTGCTAATTCTTTCTAAAGAAAATTCCATCTGTAGATACAAAATTGTTGCTAATAAACCAGCACTCTGAGCAAACTGTTGAGAGAGAAACTTGAACCTAAGCATAACTCTCCTGAGGGTCATAGGGAATTGGATTGTAATACTTTAAGTAGTTCTGGTAGGATCCCAGGTAGATGCCAGATCTTCCGATCTGCAGTCTCAGCTTTTTCTACAAAACTATCTTTCCTCTCAACTAGCCTGTCAGATTTGTGGTTGTATTTGGAAATATTTAAAAATTCAAAGAGTAACACAGATACCCGGGTGACATTACAGCACTCCACACTTAAGTTCTGGGATTTTTGTGTTTGAAGATCTGTTTTTCTTAATGCCTGCATTCAGTTCCATGCATGGTCACAGCAATTGTGTGCACAGGCTAGGTTATGTTCAGATGGTCCTCCTGACATATGTTGTAGCATCGTATCATTTGGCTCTTGAAAGCATGGTTAACACTTTCTGACTGACCAGCTTAGAGTGTGGAGAAAAGCACAGCTCTGTTTTCACTTGGAAAAGGTGTACGCCAAGATGTAAACTGCAGGCAGACTTTCTGGCAGTATAGCAGCAGACTGGCTAACTGTGAAAGTGAGTCCAGCCACCCTGGCTTTAGCTCACCCTTAAATGGTATTGTTTAAATTTCTGTAACTGTCAAGTAAGGGTATTGCATTGTCTCAACTTCCCTCTTAAGTTATATAACAGTAGGTTCTCTGCTTCTTTATCTCCTATGCTAACAATTTTTTGAAAATGTCTCTGTTTTCCAAACTCTCTAAGAGTTTTAGGGATTCACAGTTTGTTAATTTGCTATTTTGTTGCAGGTGGAAGTTACAACTCCATGAACTGACAAAACTCCCTGCTTTTGTACGTGTGGTATCAGCAGGAAATCTTCTAAGCCACGTTGGTCATACCATCCTGGGCATGAACACAGTGCAGTTGTACATGAAAGTTCCAGGAAGCAGAACACCAGGTAAGTATAATCTCTTTGCATGGAAAAAAAACAGGTACTACTTCTGCAGTATTGATTTAACCGTACTGCAGATTTCCATATCTTACAGCATGCCTAAACATGATAAAAGTGTACGTATTGAGTATTTTTTAATTTTCTTGTTTAACTTAACTCTGCGTGTTTGAAGTACTAAATTACCTAATAGTGGAAATTTGTGGATTTCTGCAGTGCTAGGTAATTACTGTACTAACCTCTTTCATGCAATACTGGATTCTTTAAGGGGAAAAAAGAGGATGGGTTTATATACTTGAACAGTATTTGCATTTTGCTTACCTTTAAAGTTTTTATAAGCTTCCAAAGTGCATCTTGTGCAATCATAGAAATCAGTATACTTTTAGATTTTAGATGCTTTATTGTTTGAGGATAGGACTCAAACCTCCATAGTGAATAGTCCTATGTTAGGGCATGGGACTGAGATTTGAGGGAGCTGGACTAAATTTCAGGGTCTGTTTTTTCTGAAGTACAACTTCAGAAAATTCCATTAGGGATTATGGCTCAGTTTTTGAGCTGTCAAAAGAAGATAAAATACTGGCATTTCTACATTGATTTTGAAAGCTCTTTGGGACAGATTTTCTTACTGCTTGTTTATTCAGTGCCTGAAGTCATAAAGTTTTGCTCCTGACTGGGACTGTCAAGAACTATCATAAAACACAAAATCTAAGCTTCAGCATCTTGAAGCATTTATTTCTGCAAAAAGAGAACTGCTGAAGGACTGGTCAGATTCACAAGATTGGTAGTTCCAGTTTTTAATTTTCCATAAACTAACAAAAGCAGAATTCTCTTGTCACACATAGCTTAATTGCGTTTCTTAACACTGTGAAACACCCAAATAGTGTATGTAAGTGTCACGTAAAAATATGTACAAGTACTTAAACTGTGATGTAGGGGGGTTTAGTAATTGTAACTTTGCATTTTCATAGCATTATTTTGATAGATCAGCTTTACCTAAAGCATGTTTATTTTTCTCTAAATTTCAGGTCATCAAGAAAATAACAACTTTTGTTCAGTAAATATAAATATTGGTCCAGGTGACTGTGAATGGTTTGTTGTCCCTGAAAGTTACTGGGGTGTCATGAATGACTTCTGTGAAAAGTAAGCTGGGCGTGCTGTTTTTTTCCAAGTTCTCTGTGCCTGTCTAAGGGGGGGAGGGTGTCATATGGAGACATTATTTTATAGGTTTTCCATGTCATCAGAAAAGTCTTCTAAAATAAGTCAAAATGCAAAATCTAGAATTTACACAAAATAGGACATTTGTACAATGTACAGAAACTTGCATTGCCTGTGATAGCTTTTTTTTTTTTTTTTTTTTTTTTGAACACAGGGATGAAGGAAATATGAGAAGTGAGAGATTGGTAGTAGCAAAAGCTTCTCTAGGTTCAAGATACAAATTTATACTACGTTAAGGGAAATGAGAAGTTTAGTATAAGCATAAGTGGTGATGCCTTTGTAATGGCTTCTAGGGCTATTGCAGTGGAGTGACAATGAAGTTGGGGGTGAAGGAGTTGGGGTTTTGGTTTGGGTTTTTGTGAGTGATCTTGTATAGTATTTTCCTGGTGATGTATGTTGTTAATCTTCATTATGATTAGTATACATGTTGTACACAAGCAAGTACAGAGTCATTGGTATTTTGGCATGGTTTCTTGCTGCTAGATCTAGAGGGAGGGCTTTACTCAGACCCGAGGAGGTGTCATGCCATGTTTTGCATACACTTTCATGTTTGTAGCCTGCTGGAAAATTTCAGGTGCACTGACCATTGGGGAAATGCTCAGCCAGCTCTAAGACTGGGGTTTCTATGTTGTGCCTTGTGTTGAGTGAATGGTTTAAAAACAAACAAAACACACACACATGCACCACCACAACCCCACCTCCTACACACACACACACCCCCACACCCCCCCCAAAGAAGCAGAGAAGCAATTGTGTCCCCTAATCATGCTAGTGTTCGAGCAGTAGCATCTGTAGCTGATCTTGCAAGAGAAATTTTTCTTTCTTAGCCAATTCAAACTGGACTAAGATCTTGGCTTTTTTTCAGAACTTTTTAAGAGCTCCACAAATTCATCTCAGGGTTTCTGTACTCTGTATTTTCTGCCTATCTACTGACAACTGATCTTATTTCATCCACCTTTACAAAGGTTAGCCATCTCAAAATTGTAATTCCACTGATGCAGTTGTAATGTCTCTGATGATGACATATCTTTTACACCCATGACACTCTCCTCCTGAGGGAGACAGAGAAATGAGCATCTTGGTAACCTCATAAAAAGTCTAGAGTGCCTGATAGATGAATTGTCACTGAAAACTCTGGATTGTGAATGGTCTCTCATGGTGCAGTATAAAAACAGTATAAAATTGGGATAAGGATGGGAGAGAAGTATGTATTTTGCTTAACCATAGTGGAAGAGTTTATGCTTAGGAAATCCATATGAAGGTGTTTTTTTCATGCTTCTCAGGAGAGCTGATATTTCTTGGCTGAATAGAGCATAGACCTGTGGATCATAGTTGAGATGGTGCCAACAGGTTGCTTCTTGTGTGGACAACCTTCACATGCATACACTGCCAGTACGAGTACATGGCTGGCATTGTTCAAAACAGAAAGCATTCTTAAGAGCTGGCATGGTCTGTATACAAAACCAGTCACTGTTTAAAACAGTAGCATTAAGCATCAGTGTCATGCTAGATCTGACCAAGGATTTCTCTGTCTCAGCGTTAATAAAATACTGGGAAACTTAAAGGAGAACAGAACATAACTGAAGCCATGGACTGACTTCACATGGACAGCTAGATATTTGTTTTAATGTATTACAGGATCTGAAATATGGGATTAGGATCAGGGATTTTATAGATAAAATTTTCCTGTTGACTAGTCCTCCCGGGTCACTGATTAGATGCTGAAAACATTTATCATGGTGATCAGTGTTTACAGGTAATTTAATTGAAGTATCAACCACTAATATGTCTGCTGATAAATTCTTTTTCCTATTGTTTCAGGAACAATATGAATTTCCTAATGGGATCTTGGTGGCCAAACTTGGAAGATTTGTATGAAGCCAATGTCCCAGTTTATAGGTTTATTCAAAGACCAGGGGATTTGGTGTGGATAAATGCTGGCACTGTTCATTGGGTTCAGGCTATCGGTTGGTGCAACAACATTGCGTGGAATGTTGGCCCTCTTACAGGTATGGTTGAATAGTTCCTGTGCTGAACTACGTAATTAGGTAATATTATACTATATATGCCACAGAACCTGCCATTTCTCACTAATTTGCCATGCTTGACTAGATTAAATAATGAACATACATAGTATTTTAAACCATGATGTGTTGAAATTTTAAATAATTGCGCTGGTAAGCAGAAGAGAAAGCAGAAAGTCTTTGAAGTCTTTGCACTTGTTCATTTAATGGGCTTGTAAAAATTACAGTTGTATAGCAAACACTAGCAGAAAAAAATGTTTTTATTAATTCATACAGTCCATCTTGTAGGCCATTTCTAAACTTTTTCTCCCAAAACTTGTTCTATGCAGCAGACTGTGCTATAGCTTGCATATGAGTTTAAGAACTTGTCTAATCTGTCTTTATCAGGACAACGGATACCTAATTGCTCTTTAGTTAAAAGCATCAGGAAATACAAACAATTGTAAAATTTTGTTCATAAAGGAATATTAGGCTTTTCAGACCTACTGCTCTAGAAGTCTTTATTTTTGACCGATGGTCTTGGAAGGTTTTTATATGTGAGAACAGAAGGAAATTTCACAGCTAAAATGAGATTCTATCAAGCATTTGAAGAAAATGTGCTTCCAAAAAATTCCCATTTTCTTAAATAGCTTGAGGTGTGTCTTTACTTCATTATGGTGCAATAAATGGTATGTCTCCAGGGTTGTATGACTGCTTGATACAGAGCTCACATGTTCAGTTGCAGTAAATTTTGTAAAACATTTTTTTAAAAAGGGTGGGGTGAGTAGGCTGATTAATGAAAAAGTCTGACTCATTGCAACAAATCTCTCAAGGTGCAGTCTAGCTTTTCAAGACAGATTATATACCATAGGGTTGTTAAATTATGATAGAGTGAGATGCAGACATTTCAAGTTTAGATATTTTTTTTTTATTATTTTAAAGATCTGAAATATTTTAATATTTATTAAGTAACCCGTTCTGAAATATTGCTCTGCGTGGTGTTTGGCTGCTGGCTGGGTTCAAACCATGGTATCACCATAGAAATTGAACACTTGTCAATAACTTGTTTTCACAGATAGTGATTGCTGCTGTGGTATTGTGTGTTCTTTTAGCACCAAAAATACACTTTCTGAAAGAAATTTTATAGAATTCAAGTGTAGTTGGAATGAATGGGTCATTGCAAATTAAGTTTAACTTAGCCCTAAAAGGTATAAATTTTTATTATAATCAAATTGCTTTGACTCCAGTTGATACTTATTTTTTAACTTGACTAATTGCTTCTGTAATATTTTTTTTTTTTGTGTAGCCTGTCAATATAAATTGGCAGTGGAACGGTACGAGTGGAATAAACTGCAGAGCGTAAAGTCCATAGTACCCATGGTTCATCTTTCATGGAACATGGCTCGAAATATCAAGGTCTCAGATCCAAAGCTTTTTGAAATGATAAAGTAAGTTTTATGTATTTGAACATTTACTGTACCCATTTCCTTTCAAGCATAAATCAGTAGTTAATTTGTAAGTAGTCCTCTGTAAGGCTTTTCCATTCCTGAGAATCAAGGCAAAATTATTTTCTATACTGTTTTTCAAATGATCCATTTATAGATATTATTAATGTTATTACGCTTTATTTGCTGTTTATAATGATCTAATTAACTCTTCTGCTAAATATGCCATAGACATAGCGGTTTACAGAAGCAGTTGAGTGGGATGACAAAAGGTGTTGAGTTTGTACAGTAAGAAATAACAAAATTAGGTCATCAACTCAGTTATTAGAATTAGAATGCTTAGTAATTTTTACAGCAATTTTAACTTAATTTTACATTTCCAGAACCTCTAGTTACTGCTCACACACTGTAATTTGGAGATCCAGTACAAATGTTTTAAATAAAGGCAAGTAGGAATTTGAAAGCCTCCTTCCCTTTGTTCTTTCTTCTGAACAAAGAATTAATTGATGTATAAAATGATAATTCAGTTTAGTGACGTTTCTCACATGCATATTCCAAAATGCAGAGTATTTCAGGCTTGGAGCATCTTTAGTAATTTTTTTTAAAGATTGTAAGTCAAGTAAATGTAAATCATGTTGCAGCACCATTTTAACTAGGCTGAGGAATGAATGGACGTTTTGGCATATATCATAGGTCTGTCTTAAAGACAGTGAGGTAATGAATTCCAAAGCAAATTACTCATCATGAAAATACTCTGGTAGCAGCACTCTATTTTCCTTTATTTTTTCCCCTAGTAGGATTTATTGAAGACATCTAACTGTGACACCTTTTTACAGTAGGAATTTAATTTAGGCTTGAACATCTGTTGCAGAATGTTGGAATTGGAGGAATGGTACCTTTGTAAGGACCAAGAATGTTGGAAGTTGAAGACAGGGAGGTTTGTTGTACTCACTGTAAAGCTAGATTTTGGAATAGTATTTCTGTGTGGATACTTTCTTCACATCTAGTAACTAATTCCTAAGGTAAAGAAAATCTTGACAGTCCTACTCCTTCAATTAAGTTGTTAGTGCTTATATTCAGGATTCCAGCTGACATAAAAGGGAGAGGAGAAACTGAATAGTTAGAAATGAGAAATAGGGGGAAAAGAAGCAGGACGAGGGAGGAAGCCAAAAAGTCCATTTAAAAAACCCAAACAAAAAAAACCCCACACAAAATACCCACAGACTTACTTCACAATTACATTTATATATCTTCCCAAGCCCAGCAGGCATCCATTATAAAGCTTCAAGCAGTTCTGGAATCTTTTTGGCAAAATATTATTTGAATATTTTGGCACCTGTATTTTGCATTTGCACAAGTTTGGGGTTTTTTTGCCATGGTTTAGGCTTAAAAGGAGAAAAACATGATTGAGCATAGCATCCTTCTCTAGGAGAATCACTTAAAATGTAAAGAAGCAGAGAACAAAATGTTAGTTTCCTGTTGTCTTGCTGGCTAACAGCAGCTGAGCTTTTTCTAGTGAGACACCTAAACTCCAGGTGTACATTTCAAACAGAGATGCTGAGGAGCAGATATAAACTTTGGTCTTGCATACAGTTACTTTTTACAGTCTGTTGAAACCATTTCCAGTTTACTTGGATTAAGCCCTCCATCAGAGTTAGTTGTCAGCCAGGTCCTGGGTTCCATGCTATGTGTGCAAAGGGGAAGAAGATCCAGTGATGAGCTCTGGTTTGTAGCTTCTAGCAGCAGTAACCTGAGGTAACTCCTGGTTGTGGTCACTTCTGTAGTTATGGCATAGCTGTTACTAGAAATGGGTGTCACCAGAATATGCAGTCCAGTATCTGACCTTGGCTTTGTAAGCATACTGGAAAGGTAGAAACCTTCGTGAATCTCCTTAAGATAGGAAAGCAGTTGCATAGTTTTCTAATGGACTGCTTGTCTGCAGGAAAACAGCACCAGCTCTCAAGTAGCTGTTGTCCACTGCTCCTGGATTTTATTATGTACAAAATAACATACATAATGTCAGAAAAAAATGTGTGTTTATATATGTGTATGTATGCATGTGTATGGGATACAGCTAGTTGAATTTAATCTTGAATAGCTGCCTTTTCATTTGTCATCAGGAAAAAAAATCTATTGGTGACACAGCTGTCATCTTTTTGCCAAATGCAGTGTGTAAAATTGCACATTGAAGATACCTGAAGTGTTAAGGTAGTTTGAATTCTGTCTCTGGGGCTTCTTAGGTATTGGAAATAGTACAAAAGAATAGCTTTTGGAAAACAACAAAAAGTAGTTTGTAATTCTAATTTTGAAAGATAAATACAAATATGTCTTACTGGGTTCTGTGAGAGTAACCACTACAGAGGCATCAAACTAAAATTTAAGCATACATATAAATATTTGGAACCAGATTAATGATGAAGAGAAATAGAACAGCAGTAGGGAAAAAATAACAGAAGGAAACTTTGCTTTTGGAAGAAATGTAAAGCCTCCTTATATTTTTAGTTAATGTGCAACTATGTGTTGTCTTGCTAGATGAAAGACAAAGAGCAAAAATTGAAACTTTCTAATGATGTTTTTTAAAGATTTCTTATTAACAGTAGAATCATGAGCAGGAACACAGGCAAAGTTATTTAAAACTTGACTGAGGGAGCACAACCCTCAAGAAAAGAAAAATGAACTGCAAACCTCTTGGATGGAAGCTAGAATGACTTTTACAAATGCATCTGAGGAAGAGAAGAATTTTAGAGGTAGTGGGAACATAGTAATAAAGGTTTAAAAAATTAATTCCAAAGTAACTGAAATACTAAGTTCTTTTACAAAAATAGTTTTAGAAACGTAAAAGAACATGACGTGGGAGAAAGGATTTTACATGAAGTCATGAAGCCATACAAAATACTTTTTGGTATCAGTAGGGAAGATATATTACTGAAAGATACAAAGAGGTCAGTTTTGCATTGCCATTGGTATGGTCTGCACACTTCAGAAGGTTTTACTGGATATTTAAATATTTGAACAGGTTTCTTGCTGCCCTTCTAGGTATCAGGATATTGTCCATTGTAAAAATCTCTTAAATATTTGAATTTGACTGGACATGATTTACTTATACTCTATGAATTTGAGAGAGATATGATCTGGATTTTATTTTAACTGAATTCTGAATTGTAGAAGAATAAAAGCAGGCCAAAAAAAAAGGTGACATTTTTTTAAACTTACACGTGTGACTCTGCTAGACACTGTTTTGGCTTTCTTTAGGCTTCCCAAACTTTAGGAAATTGTGGTGCATTTTCAAAACGATGGTTCATATGCTTTTTCCCACTCTTTGACAACATGAAATAATGAATATTTAAGTTTTCACGTGTCATTACTAGAATATGAATTTTATCCAAGGAGGGGGAATTCCCCTTCTAGCTATTATTTTTTGGCTTTGGTTGCAAATTTGGCAAACATTACAGTGGTGTTATATGTGGGTTGCATTCTGGGCAATTCTTTTTTCACAACTGTACCACTAGCAAACTCTTTGAAAATAACACTTTGTTTGAAAGTGCAGAAGGAGTTACAGCTAAATGAGCTGTTTCATTTTCTTGAAATTCATTATATGAAAATATGATGTTTAACAGAGACACACACAGTCAGTTTTGTATTGTTCTCACAGTGAGGGTATTAATGAAGCTGTAGACTTGTTTTTGGTGAAGATGAACAGTCTGAGTGTAAAACATTGAGGAGAGTATCTCAAAGTAAGCCTAAGATTCTCTTAACTACTTGGAAACACATGAAACAAACTTTTTTTTAAAAAAATACAGAATGTATATATTACATGTTTAAGGCTTTAAAATGGGGGAAGGATCAAGTTGAAAACGTTTTGATAGAACTCTTGAGCACTTTGTTTTCTGTCCAATGTTTGTTCTTCCCCTTACATTCTTCCTTCTGCATCTAATGAGCATGTAACATAACCACCCTGTGGAGGAGAAAATTAAAGGCTGCAAAGGCTGCAGCTCAAATAAATAGGACAGCTGAGAGCTAAAAAAAATTGTAAATAACATTATAATTTAGAAATCTGATGACCTGTTTTGCCAACTTTTTTTTAAAGAATTTATGTAGCTCATGCAATGCTAGAAAACAAGTTAGATTTTCTAGTACAGAAGAGAACTATATAAACTTGTGAAGATCAAATTATATTTTTTTAATCCTTTACGGAAGTATGGCAGGGAATTGTTGATTTTAATCTGACATTTGACCAGTTCTTTTCTTCATTCATAAAATAAGTGTTAAAAAAATACAGGTTTTTCCTGTGAAGGGACTTTTTTTTCTAATACCAACCTGTCTATTCTTTTTCCTTTTACATGGAAGAAGATACTTGTTGATAGATCTTGTTTCCACTGTGTGTAGTGTGATTACTGTCAGAACTTGGGTTTTCAGACTTTGGATAACTGAAAGTTTAGTAGTGCTGAGGAAGTAACAGAGTTTTTTTGGATGTTAGTTAAAACAGTTCTTTGGATTAGGCCATATAGTCGTTTCACTTGGCAGTTCAAACTGACTTTTTTTGCTGATAAATTCATAGTTCAAAATAAAATACATAAATTGCTTTTGAAAATACCTTGTTTTATTGTGCTTAAAAGAGCATTCATGCATTCCAGTCAAAAATTAAAGATACAGCCTGTTTGCAGAGCGAGGGGCGGTACTGAAATGGAACAAATCTACATAGAGGTCCATAAGCATGTGGTCTAACTTGTGAGTCATGAATCCAGTGATTCATATTAGCCAGCTGTTCCAGAAATCCCAGAGGAAGAGTAAGCTCCAGGTACAGGGTCTTGGAAGAAATATAGGCCTACTTGAATCTTGCTATAAAGTTGAATATTGAACTAAATATACAACTGATTTTGATTGCAGGTACTGCCTGTTAAGAACTCTCAAACAGTGTCAGACACTGAGGGAAGCTCTAATTGCTGCAGGAAAAGAGATAGTCTGGCATGGGCGAGCAAAGGACGAGCCAGCTCATTACTGTAGCATTTGTGAGGTCAGTAAGAATATGTGTTGAGCTTGTGTACTACTTGTCTTTTGTTGTTGTTGTTGCTATTTTAATCTTGGCTTTTTTTAAGTTGCAGCATATCTACTGTATGCTATAAGTACATGCATGTGATGAAGTACTGTCTTCAAAGAGCTGTTTTTCTAGACATAGGTTGTATTTTGTTGCAGTCTCTTCCACAGTACTCCAACAGCACTGTTATTCACTAGGTCGATTTTCAATTCTCAGTTACTGTAAAAAGTTGTTATCCCTTCCTGCATATAATTTGATCTGCTGAGTTTAATTTTAAAGGTGTATCTGTTTTCATTTCTGAAGTCAACAGCAGCCCCAAAAGAGAACTTAACTACATTTTCTTCACATAGCATTTTGCTGAAATTTTTTATTTTGTTTTCTGTTAATAGTTCCTTTAAAGTATTGGTTAATAGTTTTCATGAAGCTTAAAAGAAAATAAAATTTTCCTAACCCCTGAAAATCAGTTTCTAGTTAGCTTCTGCATGATCCTCTTGGGCAGGATGAGCATGTGACAGAGTAGTAAGGAAATAAATCATGACCTTCTGTTGCAGACAGATTTCTAAAAAGAAAATTAGGTGTGCTGGTTATAAATCCCCACCTTACTGAGTAACCCCTATTCAGAGTATGAATCCTGCTTTGTCAATATTGACCAAAAGCTTTCCCATAGCACTGTTCATGCAGACATCCTTAGTGTAGTATTAGTCATTTTAAAGTGTTTCACTTCTCTGTCTGAGCCTTAGGAGGATGAATTTTCCCTGAACAAATCTAATTTTTCTCTTTGCATGCACAGGGTAAGGTTGTAAATGTTGAAGAAAATAGTTTTCATGGTTTAGCTTTTAAAAAATGAAATTGTAACAGTTGACTTTTCTGTTTCCTGTCTAATAGGTGGAAGTCTTTGATCTGCTTTTTGTCACTAGTGAGAGCAATTCTCGAAAGACCTATGTTGTACATTGCCAAGACTGTGCACGAAAGATAAGCACGAACCTGGAAAATTTTGTGGTGCTAGAACAGTACAAAATGGAGGACTTGATGCAAGTCTATGATCAATTTACATTAGTAAGTCAAATTAATAAGTGGGTGCATAAATACATTATTTGTAAAGCGGTTGTAGGCTGTCTTGGTGCTCCATTGTATGAGTACCGTGGACTTTCTGATTCAAATGGAGGTATGGGTTGTGTGTGATGTTTACAGAACAAAACGCTGAAGAGTCAGAATTATGTGAAATAGTACAGTAACTTACTGCAGAACATAACCACTGAGTTTTCAGGAAAAGTATGATGTTACAATTCATAAAGTTGTGGCTTTAAAAATCCAATAGAGATCACCTGAAGACCATAACTGGATCAGATGGAGATGGGAAGATTCAGGACAGTGAAGCTTGGAGAAACTAGCACCAGGTTCAAGAGCATCTCTAATACATTGGTTGTGGTATGAAGTCAGTATAGCAGCAGAGCATCCTATGCACTCAGACCCCTTCCTTCCCCTTCCCCACCCATCCCCTCCCAAATCAGCACTGTCCTTCTGCTTAGCAAGTGGATGCTCTCAAACAGTTCTGTCTTTTGGCTTGGGGCCTCCTTTGCATTTCAATTTAAAGCAAAAAGCCTCTTTGCCATTATAGCTTTGTGCTATATATGGCAGCCTCCTGCTTTGAACTGTGTCAGCACAACTGTCCTAACATTTCACTCAGGTTTCATTGTTTCAGGCAAAGATGGCTTGTTTGTAATCACAATGGAAGTGATGCTGGACTTATTTATAAGCCTTGCCTTTCTGTCAAAGGAGACAAACGTTGGACTAAGTGTTATGAGAATTTCATGTTGAATTAAATGCAACAGCCCAGAAACGGCTGTGCCTTTTGATTCATTTCCAGGTGCTGCAGAAAATGTATGTTTAGACAATTATTTCATGTAATGCTAGCATGCTAAGTTGTGACTTTTTGAGTGAAGGCCTCAAGGCTCACCAGTATAGGCTGGTGCGAGTGCAGGACCATGTCCTCTGATTTTAATTCTCTTCATTGGTCCTACAGGGCCTGAGGTGGTTGAACTTCAATACATAATTCTAGGAGCCCATTGTTGTTACAGTTTGTGAAATACTGCAATTTCGAAGTGATGATCTGCTATAGAAAAGTATATTAAAAAACTGACCTGTTCTCAGATATGTCATTCAGTTGAGTGGAAATGGGCAAGAATATTTCTGTATGGAAAAGAGGGGGGAGGAGGGAGGGCTGTTTTGTGGTCTGTGTTTATAACATTATACATAACAGTGATACTGTCCCTAGAACAAGGGTTCTCAACCTGTGAGTAGCTCCCTCCCTCACCAAAGCCTATACCTGCAGCCCTAAAGGGCGTTAATAATTGTTTTCTTGCGAAACTGGCGTACCCATTCATTTCTTTTAAAGGGGATACAGTCCCAATTGAGAAGAGTCATAGCCTAGAAATGACATCTCTCAGATCTAGGCGAAGAGTTAAGGTTTGTTGCAAGTCACAGGGCAAAGATAATGTGAGATGGCAAAGGTGCAGTAGGCCTAATGGAGACGCTCTGTGTTTGGGGTGGAGTATAGGCAGCAAGCAAGGGGATCAGCTAGTGTTAGTGTTTCATAGGTGGGTACTATGGGTTGATTTAAAGTGTCTTTCAAGACTGAGCAGCTTCTCAAAGAGATTCCACATCATGACAGGACTGATGAGGAGGAAAAGAGGAGAAGGAAATGCCATCAGAGATTCAGTATTTTGATGGTAATGCGACAAAGTGCAATATTGGGAGGTAGTTAAGAAATATTTAGACCTTGTCTCCTGAAGGCAGGCAGGAACAGGACACCTACCTTATTTCAGTCTTGAGAGACTCTAATATTGTCTTTCAGGATTAAAAAAAAACAAAACAAAAAAAAAAAAACACCTTTGTCCCCATGTCAGAGAATCTGAGACCCTTTCCACAGACACTTTTAACTTCAGAGTTATATGTTATTATTTAGGTAGAGGGGAAGAAGTATGAAGCCTGCAGGGCATTTGGAGAGCCATAGACCTCCCCACAAATTTTCTCCCCACTTGTAAACAGGTTGAGAATCCCTGTTTTAGACTATATATATAAAGATAATTCTATACTGAACCCTTATGGAGGTCTTAGCTGCCACAATGGGACTTGTTTTGGCAGCTCACATCATATTAACGCAGATACCCCAAAGCATATTCCAGTCTGCAGTATAGGCAAAATCCTAACGCAGAGTAGTCACAAAATACACATTGTGTTTGAGTAAGTTGGGAAAAAATGCTAGTATCCACTTGAAAGAGTCCTGAAGTGTAAAACCAGTAGTGCGTGTGACTTGAAACGCTCATGGTTACAATTTGTGCAGGTCTTGGTTAAACAACCAAGTTTTACACCCTTGTAGAAAAGGTAATTTAATGTTTTCTTTTTCAGGCTCCTCCATTGCCATCCTCCTCATCTTGACATTTTTTCATGGACATTAAATGAAAACTTTTCTGATATTCAGGAAGTGACCCAGTTCTGCACCACTGATTTTTGTAGCTATCCCGTAAGGCTGCTGGCTGAAAGCTGTGTCTATGCAACCTTCCAAGTGCGGAGTGTCAACCAACTGGACAGGAGAGAGCACTGCCTCCTACTCCAGAACTCAAAACAAATAAAGCTCATCCAGCTGTACTTCAAAAAAATAATTCCATGTTTTGTATATATCTGACAAAACTGGCAACATTATACAGACTACTGACTTGAAGACCACCTCTTTTGTATTTCTCTGTTTCTGGGCTGATGAGTTGGTTTCATCCATTTTTCCCCTTCAGAATTTCCCTTGGAAAAAGTACTAGCTTAGCTGGTCATTTCTTTGTAAGGTAGTTAGAAATTTTTTTTTTTTTTTTTTTTTTTTTTTAATGTGAAGAGTTAGGTGATATAAATTTTTTACTGCTTTTATGTTTTTCTGTCTTGTTTTGAAACCATGACGGTTACACTTTTGGTTCCTAAATAAAATTTAAAACAATTAACAGCCAAGTCACAAAGATAAATGGGTTGCACATAGACTAAGGAATAAACTTCAGATTTGTGATTTTTGTTTCTAATCTTGATGTAAATTTACACTATTTATAAATACATATTTATTGCTTGAAAATATTTGTGAATGGAATGCTGTTATTTTTTCCAGATTACCTGCCATTGAAATTTTAAGGAGTTCTGTAATTTCAAACACTACTCCTATTACATTTTCTATATGTAAATAAAACTGCTTAGCATTGTACAGAAACTTTTATTAAAATTGTTTAATGTTTAAAGTTTTTCTATTGTTTGAGTTTTAAAAAGATTTTATGTACAGTGCCCAGTTTTTGTTCTTTTTTTGAATCTGATTATATATATTTTATATATACTCTTGTGCTTGTGTATATATATAATATATATAGAAACACAAATATAAATATGTGTATAAAGATCTAGAGACTAAATTTTTCTCATTTTAAGTTTTACATCTATGGTAGATTTGAGGTGTCTACTGTAAAGTATTGCTTACAAAAGTATGATTATTTTTAAAGAAATATATGGTATGTATCCTCAAGACATAGAATGACCTTCAGACTGGTTTATTGTTAAATTGCACTTTTTGCAATAACAGACCAATAAATAGTTGCTGCCAAAATGTAGTAGTAGAAAATAAGCAATGGCTAAACTTTAAAGCTCTTCAAAATACCGGCTTTGACAGGAAGTTTGGCACTAGTTTTAGAAGAGGAATGAAAAAGGTGAATTTGAGTTTGGGTGGGGATATTCTCTAGAATTCAACCAAATTGCAATTTATATATTACATTATGTTCTATTAACAATTTTAAAAGCTAAGACTGAATCATCTTGGAGTCATTGTTGACCCAAAAAATAGGACGTTGTTTTGTGGTATTCTATTGTATTTTCACATATTTTGTAATACGAATTCACTGGTAAATTTTTGAAGCACTAGGTTTATTTAGGACAAGTTTATAATATATCATTGTAACAGTTTGCAGTTTTAATGATGGTATTTATTTTAAGTTGCTCCTTTCTCATTAGCTTCTTGAAAATGCATTAAATCTAAATTTCAAATTTGATAGCTTTCTTATCGATCGGAGTTGACTGATGCAGAAGGTTCTGCATCAAACAGTTTCTCATAATTTCTCATTAGTGGGGTATGTTAGTGATTGCATTGTTAAATTTTTTGTAATCAATGTGAAGTGTTAAAGGCACAGAGCATGCTAATAGTTTATTTTGAAGAAAAAGAATTGCCTCTTACATTGCAGCTTCAAACAAAGGGTGTTTTTAATGAAGAATCAGTACAGCTTGTCTAATGCTGTTACAACAGTTTATCCGTAGTTATAAATTACTTTCTTGTTAGTTCTTACAACAGTTGGACAAAAGGGTATAGAGATTAAAGAAAATCATAACAAATGCTCTTGCCAGCAAAATTATCAACTAGCAGTTAGGAAGCCAGTATTTGCAGTTCTGTAAAGATGTCTCAGCTCTTGATAACAAACTCTACAAATCATTATTTTTTACTTATGTATTTTATGCAGTCATAAATATTGTAATCTTGACAAACCATGCTGCAACTGAAAAACTACTCCTTTACAGTAGTCTTAAACCCAAATAAAAGCAAGATAACTTACCTCAACTAATGGTAAACAAAAAGTCCTCGTTTCTCAGTGCTGTAAAAGAATATTGCTAACTAGGGAAAGAGCTACTGTGTGCTAATTAAAAGGGCTTTGTACCTTTCCTCCCCCTTTGGAAAAGAGGATATTCCCAAGAATTAAAACCTGTATTTTGTCAATGAACAAGTAGACCAAATCAGTGGAGCATCAGGCAGTATTGCTCATTGTGCATGAAGGTTTTGTCATGAATTTGAATTGCTGCAGGGCTTTAATATTTTGCAGTTTTCATATTTAATTACACTATGCTCCTAACCGATGGACAGTTTTGATCTATAAGCTGCTATGATTTAGAATGCTTTTGTTTCATTTTATTAAAAAAGCACAAGTTAATATTTTATCAATTGTAGTTATTATGAAGCACTTCCGCTTCTTAAATTATGGAGCTCATGATGCAAGTGAAACCTCTGTAATCTCTGGATATTTCCAAGTGTTAGCAATTGGGCAGGGTGGGGGGAGGTGGGAGTCCTAAACTGAACAGAGGGGATTAGCTCGCTTCCCAAGGAACCTCAGTCTTGGGGCCCTTGAGCTCCACAGCTGAGCCATACTGCAAGTGATTGTGAATAGCGTGTGGCTACAAATCATAGTAGCAGGCAAATTAAAGATCGAAGTGTAAAAGCATGCAAATGGCCAAAGATGTGGCATTTATTGCAAGAATTTTTTGAAAGGTACATACTAATAGAGAAAAGGCATTATTGGGGGATGGATAAAACCAGAGATGCAAATGGTTGTTTAAAAAGTTGAAGCAAGATAATAGGGAATTAGAAATAAATAGCAACATTTGCTACTGAACTGTGGATCTGAGAACTGTCCTGGAGGAGCTTGACAACAAAGGGATCCCATAAATGGACAGAAGGAATAGTTGCTTTCTGAGTTGAAGTTTGTCCATAAATACATTTAACAGAGCATTTGATTTTTAAGTTTCCCTTCAGGTACATAACTTGGGAGCAATTTCTCTTTTTTGGGAAAAGTGAAGTCCGACTAGTGGTTATATTTTAGAAGTAGTGATGTTGGTAGCTATATAAGTAATAAGTATTTATAGAGAAAGGTCACTAGAAAGTTAGAAGTAACCAGTGACAGAAAATTTCCCAGATTTCCTGAATTCATGTGGTAGATAACTTTTTGATCCTGTAGACAAAGTATCCTGAATCTGTGCCCTTCTAGTTGGAAGAAGGACTTTCAAAGTAGTGTTAAAATGATGCTGCTTTGCTTAAATGAGTACAGCTTGCCTCAGTTCAGTGTAGTATAGCAGATTCTTGGAACAAGGGTGGGCAAGGCATGGAGACTCCACAGCTGTTCATATTCTGGCCACAAATACATTTGCTGATTGGGAGATAGAAGATGCAGGGATTTGACTGAGATGATAGGGAAGAGGGTGCTTCTCTTTGGTTGCTGCCCTGATCCTGGAAAGGGGCTCAAGTAAAGATGTTACTTGGCGTACAGGGCTAGGAAGAGGGCTTCCCAAGGTCAGAGTCATTTTGTCTGGATCCCTGGCAGAGTCATGGCCCATTGATTGGGCAGCAGCTAAGGGTGGTAGGGAAGCTTCATCTTCATAACTGCTTTAGCCTCTGTGGGAACCAGAGTGAGGAGGCACTCCAGCTGGGGGTCAGCAAGCCCTGCAGCACAGGGAGAAGGCTGGTGAGGGTGACGATTTATCTGTGGCAGGTCAAAGCCAACCAGTACTGACTGCTTCCGTTGTGCTGATGCTGACGGCGGAGGAGGCGATATGCAGGCAATGCCCGGACAAGTTCAAGCTGAAGACGAAGCCGAGGCTCAAGTTCAAGCAAGCTCAGTGCAGGGCTGTTACCTGCAGGGCCCCAGGGAGGAGGCTGCTAGTAAGGCAGCAGTGCGGGCGTGGGGCCCACCAGGCCCCAGGGCAGCCTCATTCCAGGAAAATAATGGCATTCCTCCAAAAAGGGGGAGAGCAGGATGTACTTGGTAATTGCTGGGGGGGGCGGGGGGGGGGAACATGACAGATTTCCTTGTTAGTGCCAGGAGCTACATGCAAAGCTAAAGAAAATAGCAGGTGGAGAGGGAGAGCAGCCTCCACACTGCACCTGGGGCAGAGCCCACGCTGTGGGAGATTACGCGGGGTGGGGTGCTGCACAGCAGCGTGTCTGGGCTAGGAACGTGGGGACAAGCCCTGAGCCCCACAGGAGCTGTCGCCCTGTTACTGCAGGCTGGAAGAACTTGAGCGAGTGTTGGCTGCCTTGCTCTGGAGGATCGGCGCTTGGCCCTGTCCCAGCGGGCTGGGCTCTCTCACCGCTTGCAGCAGCAGTGCTGGTGATAAGGGGGAAGGGATGGATTGTGAAGAGGTGAGCACCCGTTAAAAGATGAGGTACGGCCTGAGGTGCATGGATCCTTATTTACTTCAGGGAACCATAAAAACATCCTGGAGTGATGGAAGAAGGGAAAAGGCACCTTGTAGTTACAAGAGCAGGGAGGGCTCAGCTTCCAGCTTCACCTCTTGGGCAGTAGTCTCAGTGTTTTACAGGTCACTGCCAGCCCTCCTATTGCCATGGGCCTTGTTAAAGCATTGAAATACAATTGCTGCTGCCCCTGCCTGGGGAACTGCAGGGCACTGGGTATACACAGCAGTCGGGGCCCACATAGAGAGGCTGGAGGTGGGATGGAAATGGATTTGTCAGTAGAGCCCACTGCCTCCTTCCTGTCCTGCCTGCCCTGAAGCTCCTGAAGGGCGACAGTTCCTCTCTTGCAGAAGGCAACACGCGCCAGTTTTTAGCAACTTGGCACATCTCTCTCAAATGACACATCCCACATTTCTTTTTGGTGTTTTCAGGTGTTTTCAGACCCGATTTAAATGTGTGCTGTTGCCCAGGATATAGGCAGTGACACGTGGTTTGGAAGGACTGAAGATGGTGAAAAGGAAGGCCAAGTCAGA